GTCCACCCCACCTTTGGAATCTCTTGCTACCAGGAAAAGGCGCGGGGGAGGGAGGGTTTAGGGTTGAGGGTTTTTTTTCAATGGATGAAGATGCAGCAACGCGAAGCCCAAAATAGCCCCCGAGTCGCTGTGAGGCACATTGACACGGCTGCGCCTGCCCAAAGAAGGTGGAGAAGCAATGTACAGCCAATCTCCGGGCAGCTGAAACTTTGTCTGCGGTAGACGTCGTAGTCCCCACAGTTGTCCAGTTGGCCTGTCATGGCATATGTGTCGAACCATGGCCTTCAGCCGTTTTTAGAGATAACACAAGTAGCCCCGAAGCAATCTGCTGCATGTCTCAGGCATCCTGAACCTGCTTCTCCAGAGAAAGCTTCGGCCTACGAAGTCAGCAGGCCTGTGACTTCGCAGCCTCCGCGCGCCACTTCAAAGTCTGCTTCGCACAACCCAGTAGAACTTGATCCCGAACCTTACTTGCTGCAGCATGACTGCAACTCGACTTTGGTCGGCTCGAGAAATCGAAGGCTTCGAGCTCTTCTTGCAGGCCCAGACGCTTGCTGGCACGCTTGTGTCACAGAAAGGGAGGAGGTTCGACTCAGCGTCTGTGCTGGGACAGTCGCGGCTCATCGTCGGCACCTCACAGCAAGAAAATTCTGAGCCCAAAATCTGGCCATAGCTATGAGCAGCGGGCAGGCATGAACACAAGATATGAGCACCGGGCAGGCATGAACATAAGATGCTGGCGGGAAAACCTTTCCCACACTGCCTTAGCAAACACAAACCCCGAGACAACCCTAAATCCTGAACGGAGACATTGGGCACGCAGCCCTGACAGGAGAGGCTGCATCGGCAATGAGGAGTTTGTGCCAAAAACAACCTGGCTGTATAGAATCTTGCCGTGGCAATCTCTCGAAGCCGTCCCATTGCAAGTGATTTGCCTTGCCTGCACTGTGTATGGCAGTGCTGCTTAGGATAATAACTTAAATCTCCGATGTACTCAGGCTAGCATATCCTTTCATCATCTGTTCCCTCCCGAAGCCCCAACTCAACGCGGTTCCACTTTAAAACCTCTAACCTCTAAACTCCTTTTCAAGCGCAGCACCAACCAAATGTCGTCGTCACACTGAACTCCCATGGACATGACGTTGGCTCGCTGGCATACCTCCAGACAGGAACGCTCTTAGGGGATGTTGGGTTTGTGAAGGGAGCACATCAGGCTGGGCATCGGCACGTGGCTTGCTGCCCCAAACGGAGCCAGGGACGTGAGCGTCAGGAGCTATCGGGCAGCGTGCCTCCACTGTGAAGATCATGGAGGAAACCAGATTTGTGGACTCCAAGACCTGGAGCCACGCAAGGCCTTTCCCGCATGAACTCAAGCATGAGCCATTAACTCCATGGAGCATTCCCCCCAAACCTTAAGCCCTGAACGCTGAACACAAACCCCAAACCCCAAACCCCTAGACTCCGAACCCCAAACCGCCCCAAAGGCGAGAGGCCATCTTCAGGGCCAGGATATAAGGCGACCTCCGAATCTTCTGCCGAATTGACATGGCTTCTGCCTGCGCAAGAGAAATGGGTTCAACATGGGTGCAGGGTGGAGTGTTTTGGGGCTTCCTTTGCCGGCTAATGTTGCTGCCATGTCGGCTCGCTTGCTGCTGCTACCTGTTTCAAAGACCGCTTCCGCTAGAACGCAGCTGATGTCCCAAAGCCCGAAGGCCTAAACCATCTGCTCCTTTCAATACGCTCGGCCCGAGGCCCCTGCATTTTGCTGGCCCTCTCGGTCCTCGACGCTCTGCTCCGGAGCAGCCTCTCTGCTCCTGACTTTGATTCAGGGTTTAGGGCTCAGGGTTGAGGGTTTAGGGTTTTGGGGTTTACCATCTGTGCAAGTTGTTGCCCTCAAGGGTAAACCCTAAACCCTAAGCCCCCTCAACCCTCAACTGCCGGACGCCCCCCCGGGGCCCCATTCAGCTTGTCCAAGTCCGAGCGTCCTTCCTGGCACTCCTGCAGATTCTAGAGGCTCCGAATCCGGCTCCTGCTCACAACAAACTTTCTGCTTTTGAAGCTTCGCTTCTGAGGGATCTTGGTATTTCAGGCTTGGTGCTTTGGTTTGGCGAACAGGAAGGCATTTGGAACGTTGCGAAACCAATGGTTATAAACCCTAAACCCTCAACCCTAAACCAGCAACGAACAGCCACCCCCGCTAGGTCGGCTTGAAAGTCCGCAGAAGTCTTCTTTTCTGGATTCTTAAGGGAGGGTTCTTGAAAGGAGGGTATGTAACCCAAGGTTCCCTAATACTCCCTACTACTCCCTAGGGCTCCCCAAGCTGCTCCCTAGGTACCTACCCCCCTTGAACCCCCCTCCCTTACGAACTCTACAGCAGCCACAAAGCTTGTGAGGCCTGCGTGTGGCTTAGAATGCGGCTCAGGGATTGGGGCATTTGGGCGTTTACGATACTAGGGGACCCCCGAAAACCCCCCAAATAGTGGGATTCCCTTCTTACAAGGACCCCAAGAAGCCATCCCTCATTTCGAAAACCCTAAACCCTAAACCCTAAACCCTAAACCCTATCTGGAATTTGAGGCTTGAAGGGCTTGTGGAACTGGAGTGGAAGCCTAGGATCCTGCGAAGCACATGGCGGCGACAACTAATATGAAACCTACAATTCGCCCTAAACCCTAAACCCTAAACCCGAAATACTTAGAAGGAGTTCGTGGCCTAGTGTTTGCAACAGATCTTCACGGTCGAAGCCCCTCACACTGTCAGAAAACTCGGGCTGAACCTTGTGGGAAGAATCAGTCGAAACCCCTCACACTGTCAGAAAACTCGGGCTGAACCTTTTTGGAAGAATCAAGAACCCTTACGGCAAACTGGCTCGGAACAACAGCCGTGAGCTCCAAGATGAACCCCAAAAGAGATGCAGAAGCTCCGTGCAACAAGCTTTGGAGTCAAGTTTAGGGTTTCGCCCCATCGCAGTCCAGCTGGGTCCTGCACGCCATTTGGATTCTGCACGGGCTGTTCACTTCCATGTTCATCTGGTTTTCCTGCTCCCGTGCTGGGGACATTCGCGAATGAGACGCCGTGGGCGGCCCTCACTAGACTACGAGACCGGCGATGCTATGATACCAAAGCAGCAGCTACTCGGAGAAAGCCAGCTTCTCTGAAAACTCCACTAGAGAAGGAATGGATCCCCAACCCAGAGTCGCAACACATGGGGGCTTCGAAAAACTGGGGCTGTCCATGTTGGGGTGCCTAATAACTCCTACAGTACGGATCATCTTCTTGGGTTACATAAGCAGAGGGTCTAGGGCGCACGCGATCGGAGCCTTTGCTGAAGGACCCTTCCCCCTTACCAAAACCCCCCAAACACCCCACCCACCCCCGCCCATGCTCGGGAGCAGTCGCAAACTTGATATGCCTTCTTCACCCTGCCGCCCCTGCCCAAGCGTCGCGTGGCAACGAAGGACGCAAGAGCCCCGAAGGTTCTGCGCAGCAGGTCAGCTGCTCTCCATCTCTTTTCCCCCAACCCGCTGTCACTTCCCGTATGTAGTATGTGCAGCCCGACCACGCAGATTGGAAACTCCAAAGCGCGCCGATTGGAACCCCGACGTGCAAGTCACATGGCGCCTGGTCTGTCAACTCACTCCAACCCTAAACCCTAAACCCTAAACCCTAAACCCTAAACCCTAAACCCTAAACCCTAAACCCTAAACCCTCTATATATAGAGGCTCCCCAAGTGTGGGGCGCCTGCGCCGCTTCCGTATCGCGTTGTAGGCGAAGTTCCGGTCGCCTCGGGCTTATAAGCTACTTCGCTTGGCGGTGTTTTTTAAGTTTCGGGTTTCAGAACTAGAGGGACACAAGGTCACATGAGGCTGGTGCCGTGGATCTGCATTCCTAGCTCATCTGTTCCACACAGCTTGAACAGCCAGGTTCCAAACATCTTTTGTCCAACCCTGTGTCGGGCGGAGACACATAATCTTCAAGGTTGAAGACCGCCGGGAGCAAAGCAAATGTTGAAGGCATGTATAGAAGTCCCACAAGCTGAGTACAGTACAAGAGCAACCAAGTGAATTATCTGAGTGCTCTGCCCTTGTGGTGGGCCTGTCGGCGGAGCCTCGCAGCTGCTTCCACAGCATCGAGACACCTCCAAGGAGTCCGAGCATCACCACGTAGCCTGCACTCAAGCCACGCAGCAACATGCACCGGCCCTTCCATGATCCATCTTGTTGGGATAAGGAGCTCTTTGCCCGGAGAGCACAATCCCCCCCCCCCTACGTAGGGAATAGATGACCGTGATTCATAAAGCGATCATCTTGGCTGCTGTCAGATCCCTTCGTTTTCAATATAAAGCACCCGGCATCACCCTGCCCACTTAACTGGCCACGAGCTGGTAGACTCTAAGCCCTCGTAAGGAACCAGGGTGAAGGGGCCCAAGGACTGATCTGAGGTTTGTAAGTTTAACCATCGAAGCCCAGGCTACGATCCCGGACAACGTGCACCCGGCCGCCAAAAACTTGCAGGCAGGAAGCTGCCAAGTGCTGCAACGGACCAGTGTCCCACACTGCTGAACAGCCAACGCCTCAAGCAGCTTTGCACTGAAGGATTCTGTAGGCAGATACCCAGCAGGCCCCTTCCCATCTTGGTCACGCCTTTCTCTCTGCGGACCGTATGGTTGCACAAGGAAGTATGACAGGGAAAAAAGCGGACCGCAGCGAACCTTCTTGAGGATGCAGATGCCTTGAAAGGCCACCTGCTACCTCCTAGAGTCCTAGAGCCAGCCCCTGGCATCCACAACCGAACGCCTCTCCGTGCACACCCTTTTCGAAATCAGTCCCAACACTGCAACGCTTTGCAACCGATCATGTCAGAGGCTGTTCTACTTGCCTGCCTGCCAGGGAGGAGCGCAACGGCACCTTCCACAATGCTTGACGTGGTCGTCGTCCTGGTGCTTGCGGTCACGGATCTACGTCTTCGGGGCTTCAGAAATCCTTTGTGCATGTTTCTATCAGTTCGAGCATTGAAGATTGAATCGAAAATCCTTGTCATGGATGACGTCCAAGTACTTGTCTTCGTGCGTGAGGTCCAAGAACTTGTCGTGGTGCTGGAACTCCAAGTACTGGTACTCATGCTTGTGGTGCTTGTCCTTGTGCTGCTTGAGGCTGAAGTACTGGTCGTGCTTGTGGTACTTGTCCTTGTGCTGCTTGAGGCTGAAGTACTGGTCGTCGTGACGATCGCCGTGATGCTGCTGGTGGTCTGGCAAGTGCAAAGCTGGAACAAAGCTGGAACACATGACCTGAATCCTGGCCTTAATGCCTACGCACTTTTAAATCTTCCACCTGCGTCACGGTGGGTGGGAGGTACTGGTAAACCACCGAGTCGCCCGCCCGGTTCGCAACGGCAAGAAAAAGACGGTCATCCACAAAGACTGCATGCCAGTTGCTCGCACCGGCTGTGCCTATGTTCAAGACATGATCAACGTTGTATCTGTAGATTGCCGAATCCACAGCATAGGAGCTGCCGTCGTAATTGTTCGCAACCGCCAGGTAGGCAGTGCCTTCACTGACGAAGTGCTCCCAGCCAGCAGCACCACTCGTGCCGATGTTTTGAAACTCCTCGAATGAGGCACCATTCCATTGGTAGATCTTCGAATCAATCTCGAAAGATGATGTGCTACTTTGAAAGCTTGCCACTGCCAAAAATGTGACATTGTCTATGACGAAAAACTTCATTTGCAGTGCTCCGACTGTTCTAAGAGATTGAAATTGCTCGAATGCAGTACCGTTCCATCTGTATATTCGTGAGTCCGTGCTATATGACCCATCCGCGTAGATGAAAGCAATCCCAAGATAGTGGATGCCATCGATTGCAATTTCGTCCACACCATGAGCTCCACAACAATCCAGGTCTTGGAAAAGTTCGAATTGCAGGCCGCTCCATTGGTAAACCGCAGGTTTGATCTTGTCGTTTGCAAAAACAAGGTACGTAATACCATCAATGTCGAAAACCTTCAACCTCCTTGCGCCGCCAGTACTGATGCTTTGAGATTCCACGAACGTTGCACCATTCCACTTGTACACCTTCGAATCAATGTAGTGTTGTCCACTTGCCGTCCAGTAATGTGCCGCGCCCAAATAGCTGACATTGCCAATAACGAAAAACTCAACGTCAAGTGCACCCTCAGTGCTGATGCTCTGTATCTCCACTAAGGCTTGCCCGGTCCAATTGTGAATACTCACACTCCTGTCGCCATTCGCTGTTGCGAAAAACATGCTGCCTTCAACATTCATTGAAGACACATCGAATGCTGTGGTAAACAGCGCTGTGCTTTGCAGCATCTGTGCGTGGACGATGAACGTGACGCCAGACAGTACCAAAATCAACCAACGGAACATGGCAACAACAAAGTTGGAAGGCCTTTGCGTTTATAGACAGCAACTGATGAGCCAGAATGTCCTAATTCGACCAGGCAATCAAGATTTTCATCGATTTTCAGGAACGAGCTGCATACTTGCAAACAGGGAACGCTTGCCAGGTCCGTGAAGCACCTCACCAGCGCGAAAAACACGAAACCTTCACAAAACGAGCAACGCCAACCTGCATTGAACGACAAACCATATGTTGCACAGAATTGGTGTTTCACGTCATGCACAACTCGACTTGCGAAACTGCGTAAGCGTGCACGTAGCTACCTCGCGCTTTTCAAGGCGAGAGAAACAACCTTGAACGCAGGAAAGCCAGGGGGTGCACAGATGCACTCGATCCAGGGGTCTTGCACCTTTTCTGTGACTTGCATTTGGGAATCAAGTAGCTTTCGAGCGCAAGGTGCTGTAGGCATGTGCACATTGACAGGTGTGCTCCACCATGGCATTCAGTAAGAGTGGAAAGAACAATACAAGAGTAACCCTCCCCCTCCACCACCCCCCCCTCCCCCAAAAGGAAGGAGGGAGGGAGACGGAGGGAGAAGGGGGGAGGGAGAAAGGGGAAGGGAGAAGTGAATTCCCCGTTTGGAGGCCTGCCTGGCCCCTCTGCCCCTGACCCCTGGCCGCCCTGGCCCCTCTACCCCCTGTGGCCTGGCCCCCCTGACCCCTCTGACCCTGCCCCCTGGCCCCCTGCCCCCCTTAGTGGTTTCAGATGGTCCACCTAAACCCCCTTGCCCACGGTGTTCCGAACCCCTCAAAGATCCTCCGTTCATTGTGATATTGAGGATGTGCAAATGCCCAGCAATCTGTGCTTTCTCGTCCAACAGCCTAAACAAGTTGCTTTTGAACGCAGTTTGTCGAAGTGCCTCCGATCTCGCCGACTTCTTACCAGTAGGACATTTGGCATTGCGGAGCAACCGTTTGCTGTTCTGGCTGCTATCCTGCTGGATACACAAGGCAAGCACTACATCGTGGCACCAAAGGAGCAGTCAATGGGAATTCATTTCCCTTTTCGATTCCATAGGTGGCATTCACACCCCTAAACCCTAAACCCTATCGCAACCCCTGAATAAGAAACCCAACCCCAAACCCTAAACCCAAAACCCTAACCCCTAGACTCTAGACCCTAAACCCTACTCAGCCCTAACTCCGACACCCCCAAAGCGAAAACCCCCAAAACCCCCATGTCATGGCCCTTGGGCCCCAGATGCCAGCGACGAGTGGAAGCGTAAAGATGCCACAGCAGAAGTCTTTCTGGCTCTGCTTTGAGGGGTTTTCCCGAAAGCATCGCGAAGGGTTCTTCCGTGCGGAGCCCTCTGACCCAACAACATAGAGTGAAGTGCATAGAGAGAAGTGCATAGAGTGAAGTGCATAGAGTGACGTGCATAGAGTCAAGTGCATAGAGTGAAGTGCATAGAGTCAAGCACATAGAGTGAAGTGCATAGAGTCAAGCGCATAGAGCGAAGTGCATAGAGTGAAGTGCATAGAGTCAAGTACATAGAGTGAAGTGCATAGAGTCAAGCGCATAGAGCGAAGTGCGAAGTGCATACAGTGAAGTGCATAGAGTGAAGGGCGTAGCGTGAAGTGCGTAGAGTGAAGTGCATAGAGTGAACTGCATAGAGTGAAGCGCATAGAGTCAGGTGCATAGAGTCAAGTGCGTAGAGTCAAGTGCATAGAGTCAAGTGCATAGAGTCAAGTGCTTAGAGTCAAGTGCATAGAGTCAAGTGCATAGACTAGAATTCACAATTTGAGTACATTTTAATACAATTTCATAGAATTTTCGAGATTTTAATAGAATTATCGTAGAATTTAATAGAACTAGATTTCTTCATTAAAATTACTCTTTCAAAGGCGGCGGGCTGGGTTGACATCACCAATCGGGATTGCATGCAACCCTCTGCGGGTTTCGGCGTGGTCGCGGTGCTAAAACCGTCGTTTTTTGACGTTTCTTGATTTGCGCGGACAACCCTCTGCGGGTTTCGGCGTGGTCGCGGTGCCAAAACCGTCGTTTTTTGACGTTTCTTGATTTGCGAGGACAACCCTCTGCGGGTTTCGGCGTGGTCGCGGCGCTAAAACCGTCGTTTCTTGACGTTTCTTGATTTGCGCGGACAACCCTCTGCGGGTTTCGGCGTGGTCGCGGTGCTAAAACCGTCGTTTTTTGACGTTTCTTTCTGTGCGCGGACAACCCTCTGCGGGTAATCGCCGGGTCGCGGTGCTAAAACCATCGTTTTTCGTACTTTTTTCGTGGGCGCAGACAACCCTCTGCGGGTTTCGGCGTTGGCGCGGTGCCAAAACCCTCTTGTTTTGCATCTTTGACATACAAACACAACCCCTCTGCGGGTTTCGGCGTTGGCGCGGTGCCAAAACCGTCGTGTTTTTGCGTTTTCTTTGTGACCGAAAACATCCTTTGTAATACAAAAGTCGTACTCCGACCGCGCCTGGAAAGTCGACTTTTGTAGTACAAACGTAGCACGCCGGGGACTTCCGTGGCTGGAAAGTCGACTTTTGTAGCACAGATGTAGTACGCTGCAGACGCCCGGAGCTTCCGTGGCTGGAAAGTCGACTTTTCTAGTACGAATGTAGTAGTACGCCGCGGGACGCCCGGAGCTTCCGTGGCTGGAAAGTCGACGCGGATGCCAGGAGCTTCAGTGGCTGGAAAGTCGACCTTTTGTAGTACAGACGTAGTGCGCCGCAAATAGCACGGCAGCGGAATTCCGCATGCTTGAAAACCTCGCAAATAGCATGGAAGCGGAATTCCGTGTGCACAAAAACCTCGCAAACATCGTGGGGCTCGAATTCCGGGATGTCGAAACCCTCGCAAATATCGTGGGACTCGAACCCCGGGGCCTCGAAAACCTCGCAAATATCGCGGGACTCGAATTCCGGGATGTCGAAACCATCGCAAATATCGTGGGACTCGAATTCCTCGAAAACCTCGCAAATATCGTGGGACTCGAATTCCGGGACGTCGAAACAATCGCAAATATCGCGGGACTCGAATTCCGGGGCCTCGAAAACCTCGCAAATATCGTGGGACTCGAATTCTGGGCTGTCGAAACCATCGCAAATTTCGCGGGGCTCGAATTCCTCGAAAGCCTTGCAAATATCGCGGGACTCGAACCCCGGGGCCTCAAAAACCTCGCAAATATCGCGGGTCTCGAATTCCGGGATGTCCAAACCATCGCAAATATCGTGGGACTCATTCCTCGGAAACCTCGCAAATTCGTAGGACTCGAGTTCGTCCGGGGTGTCGAAAACCTCGCAAGTTTTTTGGGACTCGAATTCCGGAGCCCTGAAAACCTTCCAGTTCCAGAGACAGGAGTACGCCAGCCCAAGACAAAAAAAGACATGACTGTTAAGATTCCTGCCTGCAGCATGTATGTGCCGTCACACATCAAACCGGATGCTCTACATGCGTGCATGCTGAGTTCTTGCTTTCTGAAAGGTACTCTGGACTCTGGACTATGAGCTTGGACTTTAGAGCGACTGCCGATGATGCTCATGGCTGACGGTTTAGGGTTTAGTTTTGGGAAGTGCCCATATCTTAGGGATTTAGGGCTTAGGGTTTGCAAGCATCTGCGGCCAGGCGAGACAGCAGATCGCATTGAGGGCCGGCTGGGGGATCCCAGACGGTAGTTGTCGACAGAGATAGGCGACCGAGCTTAACACCGGATGGAGCCCAAACCCAAACCCTGCAACCCCAAAGCCCTAAAGCAAAAAAATCCCAAAGCCTCAGTAACTCAACCGTCGTTTTGGTGTTAGATAGATTCTTGGTTAAGACAACTTGACCGTGAAAGTCACGTTCCGCAATCCGGGTCCAAACCCCGAACCCCTAAACTCAAACTAGAAGAGAGATGGCCCGAAAGCATCGATTTGCAGTGCGTTGACTCCATGCACTTGACTCTTTGCACTGAACTGTATGCACTTGGACAAGTGTATATACTTATATGGTTGCATACTCACTTGCACTTGTATACTGGACGTGCGTGCACTTGAACTGCGTGGCATTCAAGTGTGTGTTAAGTTGAATGCCATGCACTTGTGGTCAACTCTTTACACTTTATGGGCATTCAATACATCTGAAGTAAACGGACATGAACTGTATGAACTTCACTTACATGCACCCGACTCGGCTGTGCACGTCCAATCCACGCGAAGCTTTGAAAGAAAAGACAAAAACAAAAACACCCGAGACCCCAACCCCTAAACCCTAAACCCTAAACTTATGTCGAGGCACAGGAGAGCTAACATTGGAAATGTGGGAAATAATTTAATTAGGAAAATAATGCAAAACAAAACCGAAATAAATGGAAACCGAAAAACAGAATAAATGCGACAAAAAAGGGAATGAAAAAGCAAAAAAGCAAATAAATGTCATTGTTTGCTTGGTTGTTTCCGCTTTGTTGTTGCTTTTTTTTTCGCTTTTTTTGCTTTGTTCTTGCTTTTTGTCCTTGCTTTTCGTTTGCTTTTTTCGCTTTGTTTTCGCATTGCTTTCGCTTTTTTGCTCGCATTGTTTTCGCTTGTTTTTCGCTTTTTTCTCGAGGAAAAGCACAAAACAAGCAAAACCTGTGGTGTTCAAAAAAAAGCAGAAACACGGAGAAAAAGCGGCAGTAAAAGAGCACCGAACCAAGAACATCGGCCAAAAAAAAGGAAATGGAACCAAAAAAAGAAGGAAAAACAGGAAAAAACAAAAGAGGTTACGTTTTTTTGCTTTTGGTTTGCTTTTGTTTTGCAATTTGCGTTGCGTTGTTTTTGCTTTTTGTTGGTTATTGTGTGTTCCTTTCTGTTCTGCTTTTGTTTTCCTTTTCCATGCATTGGTTTTGCTTTTTATTCCCATTTTAAATTATCTCGAATTTCCCAACGGTAGCTCCTATCGGCGACATAACCCTAAACCTCCCAAAACTAGAAAATCCTGGGACCCCCAGAATGTCCAGGTTCACGGATGCATGCATTGCTAAGAATCTCTAAGCCCA